AATACACAATTAAATATAAGTTTAATATAATTCATTATATCATTATATGATTATAGATATATTAAGACCTGTGTTGTCAACCAAAAGATCTTTTTATTACACCCACTCGTCGTTAACTATAATACCACTACACTTTATACGAATATACATACATATGAAATAGAATATTAATAGAATTTCATTCTTCTTTCGATGGTTCCGTGTTTCGAACATTGGGAGGTTTGAGAGCACACAATGGGTCGAACCATGTAGACAGTGCAAACGCAAAAATTGCACACGTTAACGGCCGCGTTTGTCTAAAACACAGAGACGTGTAGGACAGGGTTGCTTGTCGAATATAGGGAGGAGCAGGCAGTTTCTAAACTGACGAGTACACGCAACGCCTACTATCTTTGTCCGTGACAGTCTGCGAGAACCAGCAGGGAGGAGTAGAGATCTCTGAACACGGACGAGGACTACGGTTCCCTTGTTTCCCAATTAGAGTACCGGAACCAACCGTGTACAGAGTGAATCAATGAGCATTGACACATAAACTATTGTAATTCATTTCATTGGAAAATTCTTTGTATTTAATAAAACTCGTCTTTTGAAGACATTCTTATATTTTAACAAAAAAAAAAGAAATAGCTTTTCAATAGATTCATTCTGTAAGCATGAATAATATGAAATAATTCCATACGTAATTCATTTGGTATTTTATATTCCAAGTTAAATGTTAGTAGGACTGATAAAAGTATTGAATTGTTACGAACTCACCCTGTATAGAAGGTATTCAAACGCTGATCACGTGGGAGAACTGCTTGAAACGATGAAAAAGTTCTCGTACTACGCACACCGATAACATTATACGTATCATGTACTGACTGTCCAACACGTCTCCGTGATTGCAATCACTTTTGTCGTATACAATTCTTCCCAGTCCTTAGTTCCTTCTATTTAATTAATGCTTGTCATGAATATCAACTCAAAATATTCTATACGTCTGATTTATAGTAGAAATTATTAATACACAACAATCTTTATGCATTTATAAAATAAAAGAGAAAACAAAATATGCAAAAGGAATGAATGCTGCTTGTAATGTACAAAAATATCAAAAGCTGTGTTTTAATGATAAAATAAATGTTTATCTAAATCTTTTAAACTGATACCATAAATGTCTTATTTTGTACAAAGATTTGCTGTCTATTTATTATTAATACTGTCCCTGGTTTTGCTCAATGCGATAACATTTAACAAGTGAAAACGTAAAAACAAATTTTATACAATTTTATTTATCCTTACTATATGTAAATTAAATTTGATGTAACCCATAATAATGAACGATAATGACAAAGGAATTTGTGTGATAATAAGTGATTTCGTTTCCAAAATCCGAGCTTCTCCTTAATCTTGTTTCGAGCAATGAAACAGTGGGATTGCTAGAATTCTGACACACGAGTTTGATACGTTCCCCTAAATTGCGAAGCCTGAGGTGGCCAATTTAATGAAAGGATAAGGTAAGCAGCGGCGTTGCATCGGTTAGTGAATGCGGGGCAAATGAAGCCGGCGAAAGGGTCGAAATTGAAATTGTCCCGGTTGGTGTGTACGTGTACGCCCGGTTGTTCAAAGCTCCGAACCCGTCGGGATAATTTCCATCGCCTTTTCCTCCCGTAATCAAACCGTCCGCGGCTTCTGTGCAATTACGTGGCGAAATTGATTTAAAATCGAGATACGTTGGGGGGAAAGGATCGCGTTACAATTTGCTGAAACTTTGCAAACGAAACGAGAACCGAAATATAATTACTTCACCCCCTCCCCCTCCGGCTTCCGCGAGTTATATATGTGTACGCGAAAACGGACACTAATACTTAACATCGATTAATACGTGAAACGCTGTTATTACACAGAATGAAACTCAACGACTTCGAATAACTCGTGAGATATTTGTTTTACAATAAAATATTTTTAAATAAATTTTGGATTCAACTGTGGACTGGTTTTTGTTTCTTTGCTTTCTTATCGCGTTATGATGGCCACCTTCAGTTTTTTTTAAATAGAATGCTCAACATTTTTTCTCAAATCTTAATGACTCACCCTGTATAATATTAGACTGTATTTCTCTTATTATTTCGTTATGATAAAAAATGTCTTAGTCAATTAACAAAATGAATAGTGAAATGCGTTCGTTATCTCCATTCATTCCATGATTTCATACCACGAGAATGAAAGATTCAGTGAAATGTAATTCGTGTCTCGTTTAGTAGATGCGTCGTTCTCGTCGAAGGAATTTTTGCAGGATCTGCGGTCGCAGCTTCGTAATGCGATCCTTGTGGATGCGTCCACTGCCAAAGAAGGCGTGAAAGTGACACCTGCACGTTTCTGAGAGTGCCCACGCGCGCGTGGCTGCGGTCTCAGCGAACGAGAATCGATAATAAATTAGCATTATCGATACGACGGTGTAACACGGGCGAAAAACCAGTCGAACCCTGGTATACATTTAGACGGGTACGAGAAATTATTGCCAGTCTTTCCGGGTTCCATATTTTTCTCCAACCTGGACAACTTACTTTACCCATTCTTGATAACATGAATAAATTAGCTGTTCCGATAGTAGAATTAGGTGCATACGAAATTTCTTCTTCCAAAACAGAAGATTATGCATTCCCTTCAAATAATTCAATTAAATAGATAATTGAAGATTGCAAATTTTTTTTATGCAGATAATTGCTACTCATACGGCATAACAATAATATTTTATTATTATTAAAATGTTCATTATGGTAGGACTGCGCCTGACGTAATCTGTGTGCTTTAAATTTTTGTGTACAAGTCGATAATATCTAATAGTGCAATCTCTTATCTCGTATGTGCGATAACTGTTATCGTGTACAGACCGTTAAATGTCGATAATCTAATTACTTAAGGATGTATTGGCTGTACAGTCAATCCCAAAAGTTTATGTACTTTAGAAAAACGCATTTCCTAAAATTAGATTAGATTATTCCTGTTACATATGAAGTGTTATAATTCTTCATAAATTCTGTATAATGTACTATTGTTTATTCTTATTATCCACTCTTTCCACTCAGTCTAGTCTGGATTATCCTTGATGGTAGATTTCTAATGTCCAGATATTCCGTTCTGTCAATTGTATTCATGTATGTAAATTTTAGTATAAGTAGAATTTCTTATTCTGTTCATATCATTATTAAAGAACGTGTCAGGAAGTTCGTCTAATAACCGTCTCTTCAAATCCTCTGGATTATTAGACTCCTCGATGCCATCGTTATTAGTATAGTTCTTATTTGACAGTACCAGTTGTTTTCCAAGTTGGCATACAAAATATACAATTATAAGTATAAGTTATGATACCAGGAAGTCTAAAATTAAATTCCTGCCGTAAATGATTTATTTTACACAAAAGTGCAAGAATAATGAAAAATGGACAATAATGGGGATTGCAATATAAAAATTGTCGACAATTTTCAAGACACTGCAATAAAACATAGGAAACGTTCGGTCGTTCTGCGAGTCATTAAATAATGAAAGCCGAACTAAAACTTGGGATGCGGTTGTTAACGCATTTTTCTAACGGTGAGAAATGCGATTTATTGAGAAACGTGTTCGTTAAAGGGTAAAAGCAGGCACAAGTATCACTCGACCTCGTTACTGGTCGCGCAATTATGTCAGGACCCTCTCGCATTCTTGAAAATGTAGGAAATTGAAGGAACGAAGTGGATGAACCGGCGGGGGAGGCTGAGACCTCGATTAAATTCATCTTGGTCCCCTGTAAAAAGGTCTCGTCGTCTCCCCCGATACAATTACCGTCGAACCGTGCAGCCATTCGCAGTCACGCATGGCTGATTTTCAAGTTTCGGCTCTAAAAGAAGAGGGAACTGACCTATTTTTATGCAGAATCACACACACGCACAGCCCTCTTAATTAGTCGAGAACTTGATACGAAGGATCGCACGATTCGGCTGAAATTGAAATCGGTTTGAAATCTGTAGTAGAGAATATTGATTTTTACTACGAAATTCATAATGAAAGTCCATTTAATCTTACTTAACACGTGTTGAGAATATTTCCTTTGCCTATTTTCTAAAAATAAATGTTAACGCTTGTTCTTGACTTCTACTCATACAAAAGGTAGTACAACCGACCAAGAGGGAATACTACGTGAGAAAATAAGTCGAAAAAAAGCAATAATGCTTTATTTGACATTTTTTTTATTTGACACCCTGCATAATGGATCAATCATTCCATAAAGGTAATAACCATTCCTCTTCTCTCGTTAACTGTTTCGCTTTAACATCGCTTTGTACGTTCAAACGTAAATTAAAACACGTTAAATTCTGGAAATTTTTTGTAAAATTTATTCGAACTCATAAAAATTGTTACTATGAATTAATTGTTGATTCGACCATCGGGTTTGAACAAAGGGCAACAGGGTTGGGGTTAAAATAAGCAAAATTTTGGGAACGAGGGTGGAATAATAGGCGCGCAAAGGCGCGAATGGTCCTCGTTCACTTTCTATCTCTCTATCTCTTTCTCTGTTGAGTTAAGTGGTTGGCAGTCGAGGTCGGGGAGCGGTTTCGATTAGCCAGCTCGTTGAACTCAGCGATCGACGTCTCGCCGAAAGGCCCCGCGAGGATTCCGAAGAGGGAGCATCTTGCCTTTTTTCCTCCCCTTCCCTCTCCTCTCTCCCAATTGCGTTCGTCTGCCGGTGATCTATGACGACGTAAATTCGTTCGATGGTAAAATTGCAGCCAATTGTTTCGTCGAGGGTTTCCGTTCCTCCTCCCTTTGTTATTTCCTTTCTTACACAATAAGACAGTTAAAATAATATTATCGCCGATTTTAAGCATAGAAAAATTTGTATTAAATATAAAAGCACTTTGCTACAAGAATTTCGCTAAAGCATTTCACAAAATTGCAACGATTCATTTGACTGTGAAAATTTGTCTAACATTGAAGATTGTTCAGATCCTTAATCGTGGATCTCCGTTTGTTTTCAGAAAGCGGAACGGGAAGGTGGAAATAGGAAAATACTTCGGCGAACAGGTGCAGCAACGCGTTGGAGAGTGAGTAGTAAGCTTAACGTAGCGTGCATTTTAAGGAATTCGGTTTCCTCTTGAAGGAAAACGGGCTCTAACTAACTCGAACGGAATTTCGCTTATGACATACTTTTTCACTGAACCTACGTGTTTGCCCAAGACTTACCCCCCTCCTGCAAACACATCCCACCGCCAAGGGTGGTTCCTTTTTCCGATTGCGTAACATCCGAATTCTGTTCTAGTTTAGACGATTCATACTCTTCTTTAAAAGATAGTTCTGAATATACAGGGAAAAATCATTTAGAATCGTCTCGTTAGAGAGATGTTGCTTGTTTAGAATTGTTATAAATTATCATATTCTAATTATCTATTTTATGATAATGTCATTTTTATTCACTGCCTTATGATCAGATATAAAATGATAGAAAAAAAAGCTAGTCAGTAGAAACTGTTACGTAAGCGGAAATTGGAAACTTTACAACATTCAAGTTTGGATACAGACACTTTCTAGTGTCGCTGTGAGATAATTGCAGGGTATTTGGACGTGTGATCAAAGACATGGGAGGCTTAGAATTGTTAGTCCCTCAGGTAAAACCGTGGACGAGGGTACCCGTTCCCTGTTGAAAGCCACAAATCCGGGTGTCTCGCAGGCGACGCGATAAATTTCGTCGCACGGGGCACGGACTAAAGATCGAGCGACCCTCTTCGATAATATAGGTGGGAGCCACCGCAAATCCAACACTCCGGCGAAACTGCCACGATAAATCCACGTTTATCTGTCGCGCGAGAGACAATCGCTCGAAATAGGATCCGCTTTAATAACTTTATTTCCGTGATTAATGCCGACCGTGGTCCAGGCTTTTATTAGCGAAAGATTGCAGATTCCGTTCGTTATTGCAGAGGAGGACATTCCTCTCGTTGTGTCACGATTTTATTAGCTTATTCGGAAAGTTTTGAAAAGACAGCATGAAGTATGATGTGTCCATCATTCATGAAAGATTTTTTGTTCCTCGTTGAACAATAAAATTCTATAAAGGACAATAAAATTGGTACACGTATCCGGGCCAATCAAGCAACGATTTTTCTCTTCTGCGAGGGCAGAAATAAATAACGTCGAGGTAGAACGATGGTCACGTAGCGACTACGTGGGGGTTGTGTTTCTCAGACGACACAGATTGCGTCTTATCGTTGTCCAAACTTACTAAAAAGCAATTTTCGTTGCCAGAGGCTAGTAACTTATGCAGTGACGAACGAGGCCAGAGAAGTACACGAAGCTGGGCGAAGTTTCAAATTCTTGGCTCGGCCGTTCCTTGGCCGAAATTTCGCCACGGGTAAACGAACCTCGAGTTTCTAACAGATGCGACCACCCTTCGAGAAATACTGGCAAAAAGTTTCCATCTAGCTACTTCGAGTAATCGATTTAACATTGTGCAATCCTCAGTTTACACAGAACGAACGTGTTCCTCCGATGCCCAGTCTGCTTCAACTCCTCGAAACTTAATAGAGGTTTTAGAATAACATAATAAATTGCACAGAAAACAGAACGTTATTATAATTAAATACAAGCTGATATGCAAAACGTAATTAAGTCTAACGATGACACAATTTTATTAAGACGTAAATATCCGAATGTATGTCAGTTATTGAAACATTTGTTTCGATTTCACATGCAACTACAGTAATTTCCGGATATGTGGGCACCCATAGGGGCTGGGCTTGGCCATAAATCCGATGGGATGGGTCTCTTAGAATCGCTCGTCATTCAAGAACGTAGCATAGGAAAAAGTAAACTTTCAGTATACAGTACAGTATTTTTCGTTAATAATTAAGAAACCATGCCTCACTTTGTATTTTGCAAAAGGAAATTGTTGTTCAGAATGACCCTCCTAATCTGCTATTTTCGGCTCTAACACTTTTTACGGAACATCTTGTATATTCTATTTCTGCTACTGTAATTCCCTTGCGCGTTATATGTATATTTCCATGTATATAAAAGGATTTTCTAACCCGTGTAATAATAAATAATAATAAGAATAATAATAAACAGTTGTGATTGTGCTAGCACAATATTAACAGAGAGGAAGAATAAACATAGATAAGATATGGGGCTCGCGTTGAACGAGCACTTCCAGGAATTGGAGAAGATGACTCACGGCCGTATATCCGCAGGAAAATGTGACCACAACCGGAGATTACTGTATAAAGATTGATAAAAAAAAAAAAACAGTTTTCTAATACAGTTTCGTTTGTAAAACGGGGGCACTGTGAAGTGGCTGACTGCAGGGGATCTTGCTCTCTCCCGGGCAAAGTTAGAAACTGTGCCGATTCCTGAAGGCATTCATTCTCCCCGGCACGTGTCACGGTTCGGACAGCTCGAGGGGGATGGGACAGCGAGGAGGGATATTATGCAACCGGTCGTATGCATCTCGTGCATGTGCACGTATGCGCACGGCGTGTTCGATACATCGGTAGATGCCGGCGCGTTCGACCCATTTTCCAACAATGCTCGACCCGCTTATTATTAGATGCGGAGACTCAGATACCGGCCTGTCGTGCCGAGCCGGAATAAAGACGACACACGATTCTCTCGTATCGCGTTCGACGCGTACGCCCTGCCAGAAACTGATCGTGTACTCCGCTTGCTGATTTCAATGATTCAGAAACCGTTTCCGTTCCACGTCGCTTCCTCATTTTCTGATTCCATTCGCGATTCCAGCCCTCATTTTGCCATTCACCATTTCTAAACAGAAATTCTCCCATGAATACCTTGATCAACAATAATTTAAATTATTAATACATACACGTGTTATTACATACAACATAACAGATTGTGTGACAAAACTTGATATAAACTGTGGATGATAGATATACAGTGCTCTTGAATAGCCTCGGGTAAAAATTGATACATGCATGTAAGCTTATGTAAAAAGAAGGAATTTTGGTGAAAATCGTTGGTTACTAATTAGATCCGTTTGGAAAGTACATTGTTGTTGAAAACATAACTGGCTTCTGGCTTGCAGATGAATAGCCTCCAGTGATCAGTCATGTTAGCTAATGCTTTACGATAGACCACAGATGAAATATTTACCACAATTCTACATTTCATAATTTTACCTATCTGTGTCATTTTATTCATATTACACACAATTTCGTACGAAGAAGGGTTATTCGAGACTGTCCAAATAAACAGCATTGTATTTCGTTGTTGAAAAAAATAATTAGTGTTTTTTATATTTATTACATATTTCATACTTAAAGTCTGCATCGTCTAGTTACGAATCGTAATTGAAAAATGTGTTAAGAAACATGATCTCGGTAACAATGGATGGTAGAGCATATTTCCATGAATGAAATTACCACAAATTCGAAAGAAAGAAATTCACTGTCGCGATACATCACGAAACGACGTGGAGAGAAAGAGGTGGAGGAGGAGGGAATTTATTTTCTGGTTTCATACATCGGGCCAATGTACTCCGGTTAGCCGAGACACGACCGAAGCAATTTCATCTCAGGTAACGCAAACTGATATTTGTACCCCGGTCGCGATGCCATCCGTCCTGTTCCCCCCGACTCCTCCCGAAGCTGCCACTACTGTCTGTTACAACCACCTCTGCCCCGGGATTAACAACGACGCGACCGCTAATGAAACATCTCGTGGTCAGATTAAGCTCCGTTAACGACACACCTTCGCCTCCCACGGTTTCTTCCTTTTCTCTTCTTCTTATTACTCTGTTTCTCCCACTGTCTCTTCGCTGTCTCTCAAAGTAAGTTTCATCGATGCAAATAATTGATATTAAATACGATTAGATTAATATTATTGCAGGTGCAATTAAAACTAGACCTGCACGGTCCAAATAAACCATTTTAAATTCTTATATAACAAATAAAAGCAGAACAAAGGTTGTTTCGTAATATTGTTAAAATTGCAATTTTTATTTAAACTACGACCAGATTGAAGTGCCAGTGCCAACACTAAATTCCACTAAAATGTAAAAAATATGTGTATTACTATGAGAAAACTGTCGGTAGGTTTAATGTTGAAACATGGAAACAGGAGAGTAATTTTTGTATATCTTCATTTATTCCAGTACATTTGCTTTCGGATGAAAAGATGTTAGCAGAATGTAGAGAACGCGGAAAAATCTTGCAAGCTGTATACATTGACGCTGATGAATATTTATAGAAAGATGCTTGAATAATGTTTGGTCATAAAACGGCGAGGTTGAGAGTCATTCACGCGTGGTTTCGCAGTTGATATATGTAGGTGGTCTCCTGTTTATAAATCTTGGAACCTATTGATATTTTATTATTCAGTATTTTACTATTTCATTGTATCAATACTTTATGCTTACGACTGTATGATACATTGTAATTTTTAAATGAGGTCATTTCTCTAATGTGTAATGATATGGAATATTCATAAGAATTTAATATTCAGATCAAAGTGTACGTGTTTGAATTACACTTCATGGGTGAACATTAAACGCGTTTATGTATCAAGTATTCTTGTTGTTCACGACCCGTAGTATCGATCGGTTCTTGACACAAATATGGAATTCCCATTATTCCCGCATAGCCGATAAAACGAGCAAAAAAAAAGAAGAAAACTATTTACGGAACGAGACGCAAGTTGGTCTTAAGCTATGCAACAACAACGATCCATACTATACGCAAGGCGCGTTCCACCGGGGTCACTAATGAATACCGTCCTTCCTCTTCCTCTGTTAATTAACTAGCGCAAACGTGGAAAGGATAGTAGTCCCTTTGATCTGTCCGTGTAATTGAACTTTTTCACCGAGCCACCCCTTTCAGGCATTACCCGAATGTTCATCGCACGCTTCTGCTATTAAGATTTTTTACAATCCGTCTGGAGCATTTTCGATAATTATGGAACGCGTTCAATTTTGTGGGCGAACGGTTTTGCCTCCGAGGAATTTAATTTGTAATACGTAATGAAATTTCCAAACAATTTCCCATCGTAACATCCGTCCAAATTGAATTGGAATTCGTTACAGTAGCAAATTCAAACATTCAAAGCTTTGATTCTGCGATCCGCCATGACTAATGAAAATGAACATCCGGAAACATTATCACTGATGTCTTAGTCACTGTTCATTATATTCGCAGTTCCCATAAGCGAGTTCTCCCGGTTGATTTCATTCTGTAGACTGGAATTACTCTGGTATTTTACGGTGAATAGCAAGCACACGTTTTCATCTGCACGTGTATACATTATACATATGTTCGTTTATTCAAGAGTTGTAATTGTAATGAAGTTCCTGCTTGGTTCGGCCAATTAATAGAATAGTCTCCAATTCAGGTAAACAATTTCAAAGCAGTTTAAACGAATGCTTTTGGGAACTTGATTGACCGTAATAATTAGACCCCTTGGAAAAATCTCGGAAAAATCGAAAATTTTTTTTTGTTGTTTATTATTAGCAATGTTCTTCCGACGTCTGATTTCTTTTTAAAAAATGCGTTTCTAAAGTGTTCAAATGTGTTGAATAAAATTGAACATTCTTGTTTGTTTCGTTTGAATGTTTGAACGTGGATTTGATTTCGAGACACTTTAGTAATATCTTGCACGGTCGTACGTTTCCTAAACTGGCGGGAGAGCCCTGTATACCCGGAAATCCCACAGGACTCGAGACAATACCGCCTTCTAGTGGGTTTGCTTCCGGTTCTTTGAAGTCCACTTAATAAATAAAGGGGTCAAGAGGGGTGTATCTCCTGTAAAGGGTTCCCCTCTCGTGTTTGTCGTAACTCTCGGTTACCTAGAACGTGTGCTGTTCTGTGGACCAATATGTATCACGCAACCTGGCTTCTATACAGGTATAGCGTTGTAATTCACCGCGACTCGTGTTCCATCGGGCCTACGGCGTTCGCCTACAAACTGCCTCCATGCTTTACAGCGAACGTATCTTCTTGAAAAGAGCAAAACGATTTCATAAGATACAGCAGATTTCACTTATTCATTTTAATTGAGATTTCGATGAAATTTTGTAGAGCTTTTAAAAAGACGTGGTTATAATTTTAGAAGGTATCTAAGAAAATAATTATTAAAAACTTTATTTTAACTGTATTATTACCAGACATCTATTAATTATTATTAATACAAAAGACGAGTCCAACTTCTGTGATAAAATAGGGAACGTATGTTCACTTCGTAAAAACTGAAATGATTTCGCTAGAAACCCATGAAGTTCAGTTTTACAACATAACTGAATGCCGGATAATTAGTGGGCATTTTGTTCGAAACGATGAATCGTCGCGTCGCGTTCATAGTGTCTATGCTTGTAGATATTCAGTTACATAAAGTACTAGGAGGGTGTGTTTATAACCACGGCAGGGCCTGTCCTCTTGGAAGGGACGCAGAATGGGATACTAATTCGAGGGTGCTGTGAAAAGGGCTACGACTGGGGGATGAGAAAGGTACGACTCCTTCGCGGCGGTCATTCAAACTTTCCCGGTTTTTCCTTTTCCCAACCTCGGACAATGGGTGAAAGGACTTTTTGCTAGTACTTCGGCCAGTATATTTGAATACCAGCACATTGATACACGAGACAAATTGGGGTGAATTCAGCTTTCTTCTCCTCTCACGCTTTTTTAACTCACTTCCATTATTATAACGTCGTAACAAATATTAATACAGTATTTCATGTCGTGAATAGAATAGATAATGGTTCATACAATGGTCGATGCAGTAATTTATGTAAATACGTTAAAAGTACCAATGAAAGATTTTCCTTTGACAAAAATTATTACAATTGAAAATACCAGAATGCTTATATTTTCGCTCTATCCCTGTTTTCGGTTTAAGAGCACTTTTTCGCAGCTAATCAGAAATCGTCACTTAGGTGTCCAGTCACTTCCTGATGGGTCACTACTAGCTAGAACAAATTCACTTACTGGTACAAAAGATTTAATAAGAAAACCGAAAGATTTCGTTTCAAACTGAGTTAGGCTGTCCTAAAACTGATTGCATATGCACGTCCAGTTCACGGACCAATTAATCCAGGGTGCCTGGAAGTTCCGTTCACCTGACTCCGGGAAGCAATCAACCGAGGAGAATGAATGCTCTATAATACATGATACACGTAGTTTGTGTAACTACAACTGTAAATGTTTCACGGTTTCTATCAATTTTAATAAATGAATTATTTCATTCTTGTATCGAAAATCGTCCTGTATGAATTTTCTATTTGATGGAATTTTGTTCGGTGAATTTATTCTTAGATTTAATCAAACCAGAATTATCTGATTTGCTTGTGATATTCGATATGTACAGTTTGGAGAAATTACTATGGAAGTGGACTGATACCAACGACTAGATTGACTAACTTGATATCAGATAGGCACGCCGTCCCACGCGAGTTCAGATACCATGTTCCGACTGTCTAAGTCAATTCTAGCGATTGTTACAAGTAAATTGGAGCACGAGCCGAGTCGTTTCGAAAGTAGCGGGTTTGTATAATCAGTTACCGAATGATTTGTTAGCAACCGGCTACTGTGATTCATTACAATGACACATGTTACGATATTAGTTGAATTCTCTAACCGAACGCAAAAATCAGAGGTGAATTTCCATTTGATACTCCAGTCGTGAAACGCAACGAGCAAAAGTTTTTATTGGGAATGGAACTTTCGGAACGCGATGATTTGTTAGGAACTAACTCGTATGATTCATTACAGTGATAACGTTGAATTCTCTGATAAAGTGGAAAAACGAGTGAATTTCCA